TTCAGCTATCTCCCACCTTCAAATCATCTCAGATGAATCAATATGTGTTGTGTGTACCACCCCACACCATCTTCTTCCAGTAATGGAAGCATTTACATCTGGATTGACAGGTACCCTAACAACAAAATTTTGGAATACATCGTCTTGCAACACATGTTCATTTGATTTTTTTTATCAATTTGGTCGATTTCTGTTGCACTATTGCTGATGAAGTTGTTTATAGGGTGTTTTAATGAGAGTATCAATAGTTCTTGGGATGTAGAAGATGTGGTTGATGAAGCATCATCAAAAAGGTGAATGCTAGATTACCCAAAGCCTGAGACGGTAATCTAGAGTCCATTACGAGTGGTAGGGTTTGACCCGAGAGGTGTAGGGGCCAAGGGAGCCCGAGGCCCAAAGAGGAGTGGTGGCGTTGAGCCAGGGGTGAAGAGAAGGAAAAAAATTTCCTCTCTACGCCCCCACTACCACTTCTCCACCTCTCGTTAGCTCTGCGTTTGAATTTCTAATAGATCAACTTATTAGAAATTTTCCTTTCTTTTTCTTTTTTCACCCACCCACCGTCCCAGGGAAGAGAAGCCCTCTCGGGGTCCTTTGCTCTCACCTGGGCGGGGTAGTAGCTACAGGAATGGACGTCCATTCCCAAAAGCATACTACCCCTCCGGGGCATACCCCCAAACCACCTATAGTAAAGATAAAACAGTATTATAGAGGTTGCAAAGATCACCCTATTGGGTAAGACTTCTTTGGAACATTGAGTTAAGTGAAATCTAAAAGAGCATAAACAAAGTCTAAGATTTGTGAGTAGACTTTGTGATGCTTACACCAAATAAAGAACCATACCAGGTAGTAGTGGACCCAATTTTGTCTATTTTGTGCGCCTCTTGCGCCCTCTTGCGCCCTCAGCCAAAATGAGGGCGCGCCCAGCGCATACTTTATCTCAAGCTTGCGCCCACCACATGAGAAGAGGGTGAATTTCCCTCTTCTTCCATTTCTTTGGATGTCTTAACTACGGTGGCTCTAAAGTGCCACTTGGGTCACATCGTCACAATTGACAAAAATGACAAAAATGACCCAAAACAAGCCCCAGTGAACAGGTGCCAACCCTAGCCAACCCTGTTCGGCCAAATCATCAGATTCTCCATTGCCTTATCGCCATCAAATCTCATCGACTTCAGCGGAGTAAAAAAATAGTTAGACTTGTTCAATTATGATGAGCTCTAAAGTCAAGACAATCATGAAGCCCTATAGGAGTAATAAAAACAGACTCTGAAGGAACACAACATATAAAAATCAAACGGATTGATTTTTTTTTGACAATTTTATTGGAGGGATCCTACTATTTCCCTTCTATTTCTCTTAAAAACAGCTGGTCTTCCTAGAAATTGATGGTACTTCAGCTCTTTCAGCTAACAGACATAGGTACCATACCTTACTTGGAATTCACGGATTGAGACACATTTTGCTGGATGTCTGGCAAGAAATTGAACATTCACTGCATTTTTGTCAATATCCAACTTATTTGAACAAGATGTTCAGATCCTTGAAAGTTTATCCTCTGCTTTTCATCTCTCAATCCTTACAAAATTGATGAAGATTAACAAAATAACATGCTGATAAGATCGACTGGGACCTCAATGAGATTGAGGATTACCACGGGTCTGGACATTGTCCAGGGTTGGCACCTGTTCACCAGAGCTTGTTTCAGGTCATTTTTGTCAATGTTGGCAATGTGAATCAAGTGGCACTTTAGAGCCACCATACTCAACCAAGGCACAAAGTAAGGAATGAGTTCCATGAGCAAAGGTCTAGGGTAGAGAGCTAACTCTACAGCCTGTACAAAGACAATTTTCAGTCTCTGAGTTTCCAAATTCTGAAAATTTCCCTTTGACGCTCCACACCCTCTAGCCTTGCAAGTTTGGCTCAAGACATTTGAAGTGATCACATTTGATTCCCATTTCCTTGTTTTTTTTGTACCTCCCACCCACCCAGCTGGAAGCAGGCACACACCTCGTCAAACGGAAAGTTTTAACCGTGACACAAAGAAGGCACACACCCGAGACCGGGCTCCCCCAATCCACTCCTACCTCAGCCTACAACATACATAGGCCTAGTCAGGAGTATCAAGATATCTTAGGGATATAAAAAAACAAGAAGAAAGCTGTACTAAAAAGAGCTTTAGAGAATGGATCTCAATTCACATGTGGGTGGATGTCAATCCTCTGGGACTGACATATCACAAATGTGATTCTCTCCTGCACCTTTCACTCCTCTCCCTTTCAAGGGATGGACTTCAGAGTACAACCGCAGGCTACTGAACACTAACAATATTCAGTGCAACTTTAAAGTAGAAATTTAAATTAAACAAGGAGGACAACATTTTTCCTCAAAACAGCTGTATATCATTCTTTCTATTGTTGCTAGTAGGTGCCTTCAAATTAGGGAAAAACTGAAATGTTAAAAAGGAGAATTGTGAACCATGTAATTACTATGCATTAAATACAAGGCTGTAGTGCAATCACAAAGTTAGACTTTGTATGTGGAGGAAGCCTCCCTTGTAGGGCTTCACAATTTTGAAGAAGCAAAAAAGCATGTACTGAAAAACTATGATTGCACTGTAGCTCTGTATCAGCTGTATCTAAATTGTACAGTTCAAAGATTTTCTTAAGTTTTTTTGCTCTACTTTGTAGGCACCTAGTGATTATGACAAGATCAAGTCTCAGCATTCTTTGTACAAGCTAATGTAATCATGTTACAGAGGAATAAACATGAGATGATCACAAGTAACAGCCCAAAGATAGATGACTATATGTAAAAGATATCACCAAGAGATCCTTTTTGATCCACTAGATCCACTTCAATAAGTGCATATATATACAATAACCAATTATCAAAGTCCATCTCTTGAAGTAAAGCTTGGTGTGTTGACCATTCTCAAGCCTATCAGATTCATTGAAATAAGGTGCAAGGATAAGCAGGTAAGTTTTCCTTTCTATGAGTCTTGATATCATCATTGCAATTGTTATATGATTTATTCTTTATGGCTTATAAATCATTTCTTTGTGTTATTTTTTATGACATTATACATTTGTGTTATGATTCAAATAGTTAAGATCATAGTGTTTAAGTTTGGTAAGAAAATAGTTCATTACATTGTTTACCACTTTCTCTTTTTTCTATATAAAACTTAAAGATTTCTTTTGTGACAATCCTCTTTACCATCAGATTGTCTCATATTTCTATTTGATCAGTGTGTGTAGCTTCTCCATAGCTGACGACCTGATTCTCACAGGTTGACCTCATCTTGAGTGTTGCTTGAACATAGAGCTCCTGATTCTTAATTCAACACAAAGAGAACAAGAGTGTTGATCTTGTGCCAGGTATGAAAATCTTCTTTGTCACCATAATGATAGATTTTTACTATACCATCACATATTCTCCCTTTACATGTTTTGTAAGCTATGCCATCTGCTGTACTATTTCTTTATTTTGCTTGCCGCAATGCAGACAGGATCCACCACAATTGATACATTTTTGTCACCATCCCAGTGATACATGTGACATGCCTGAACCAAATGGTCTGATGACTCCCTTTCTGCCTCAACATGCCTCTGAAGTCTTTCTTGAATTTCGTATCTGTTCTGTGATACACCGGTGCTCTGATATGCACAATTTCAACGTGGTGAAAAAGGCCAGGGGCTCCCAACTCTCTTTCTGATCATGCTTGGGAGATGGTGTAATTTTGAGGTAAGCATGAATATAAAGTGAATGACTCATGGAGTCTCTAATTCGGATTCTTGTTTAAATAGAATGCACAAACCGCCACGCCTACGCATGCGCATATATATTTCGAGATACAAAGACTTCTAAGTACCGTGTAAGAAATATTGCCTTGATCCGCAAGTCCAACTAAAATGCAGACCAAGTCTGCCTTCTGATCACCAGAGCTAGCAAACTGACTTAGAAACTGTGCCAAACTTCTTGTGTAGGTAGATTGCGCCACTGTCCATATATGCTATTAGCATGCTTGTTCAAAATGTATCGCTTGTCAATTTATAGTTGCAGAACACATTTTTTACATTTTCTCTTCTGATGACGGCAAAGGTCATCCGAATGAACTTGCTTGCATTTAGTTGCAGAGCTACATATATGATCACGCAATTCCAACATAACTTCGCAGCATAAATTGACTGTACGG